AACTTCATTTTTATTTCAATTAAAAAATGAATCAATAATTGGAAAATTTTTATACTCCTTTGGCAACCTTTAGTCAACAGTCTATGTACCCAATTCTTTTTGTAGGGTACAAATATATATATTATATTATATATATATATAATACCAGTTTCCATGTCTGCGCTGGCTTGGCTTTGTTATACTGTAACTGGAACGAGTTGTCAAGTAGCAAAGCGTCAACCTGGAGCATTGACACCCAAACAAAATGGCGGCTCGTCATGGCGCTTGACTTAAAGAGTTGATGAAAATATAACTCAAAGTGGACGCTCACCTGTACGGGACGCAGGACACTGGAGGCAGGCAGGCGGTCTTGTAAAACAGGACACTTCAAGCGACGCGACGCGACGCCAAAACAAACAAATGTTTAATACAGTGAACAAAAATGAGAATCGAAATGGAAAAAGTACAAATCACATTTCCTGTGCGGCGGCAACTTCCTGTTGGTAAAAATCTCCAAGTCACTTTTTCACACGGCGCTGACGGCGTTGACGCTGCTGTTATGTGACAACTGAAAAATCAAACGAACCTGCCACAGCTGGCCGCAACTTTGATGTTGCATGCAACGTCGTCTATTTTCCGCTGTGTGTCGCTTAATTGTCAGTCAGTCAGCCAGTCAGCCAGCAAGCCAGCCCGTCAAGTCGACTCAGTCAAGGTAGCCACAGTCCTGTTTGGTCAGTCATGCACTCAATCAGTGGCAGGGAAACCATAGCGTCCAGGATAACGAACCAACAGCGGCACCAAAATGACTCAGGACTTGCAGCCACACACCCCTCACAGTCCGCAGTCCACACACCCTCACAACAGTTGCAGGAAGTTTGACTTCCTAAGCGGAACTTGCAGCATTATCCTTCTATGGGAATTTCAATGTTTTGCTGGGGAGGGAGTCCTGAAATGTCAGGAACGAGCCAGGAACATACTGTTTATGGTCTATGAGTACACTAAATACGTTTATGTGCACCTTAACCCATACGAAAGCTACACATTAATTGATTGAATTAAAGCAAATTTAATAATTTAATATTTATGAGCATTGCTTTAATACATATTTATATTTGATAGAAACTGAATCTGTCATAAAATTGCATATTTATTTATTATGTGGAATATCACTGCAACAAAATATGTTTAAAATGTTACCATTAACTGCATAACATACAAGTCATCATCTTAGCCCCAATCAGCATTGATAATCAACCTCGAGTAACCTCCCAGACCCAAATTTGTCGAATTTGTTTGCCATTAAGTATTAGCATTAAAAAAGTCCATTATTATCTAAACGCACTCAAGTTAATGCCCCCAAAAGAAAACCACACCTGCCAATCTGCCGCCGGCCCGCAGAACGAGCCCAAAATTGTAAGCCCAAATAAATCTAGCATGAAGATGTTTGACATTATTCAAAATACGAAACTACAAAATTCCACAAATGCTTGAGGAGGAGTCGAGTTGGGTGCACAGACAAGCAAATGATGCGATAATGCCACGCCTACCCCTACCAGCACCCTCCCCCCCCCCCCCCCCCTTGCCCTAGCCTACCACCAGTCGAAAACATGTTGAGCAAAAAAGGCAATAAAATTTAATGTCAAATGCAAGAGGAGCGAGTGGAGATGGCCCCCAGTCAGAGTGGAGACAAAGACATAAACGACTTCATTTTATCTTAATGTGCCAATAAATTTCCCAAAGACGAAATCTCTGCCAAAAACCAAATAAATTTACTAATACCGAAAATTAACACACAAGACCGACAAAAACTCCCCAATACGAAATGAAATGAAGCGCCAACTTGACTCTCGAGTGGCATGTGTGGCATCAAAGAAATGCAATTAAGGCTGAAAAAAGAGAGCGCTATAGAGAGTGAGAAAGAGATGGAGAGAGGAGAGAGGAGAGATGAGAGCTGCAGTCCAAAATCAAATGATATCTCAAGTGTTTAAGTAGCTAAACGCCCTGACAACTCGGAAAAGTTATGGCACAGCCTGCAACTGTCGACGGCGCGTGCTGCCAGACAGCGTCCACGCCCACTTACGCCTACGTCCACGTCCACGCCGTAAGTATTCTGTCAACACACAACACAGCTATTCAGATCTGCCACAGAAAGGGAGAAAGAGATCGCCACTTGAGGTGCTTCAATCGAATTTAATGTGCGGAGTGCGTGTTGCAATTTCCATGGAGCGGGAAGAGGAGCAAACAGCTACCGTTCTCTAAAAGGGTTCAGGGCTTGTGCTCATAAATTTGATAGATCTCAAGTGTTATTCGAGGGGCACATACAAATTATTACGAGCTCTACCACCTGAGGTTTGTTTCAAAAGTTTCGTAATTCGTGGCAGCAATTCATTTGAATGGTTTTTCAAATTGCATTTTGATATCATTTTTATGACCAACTGATGGAAGAATGTAATAAATATAATATTTATGGATTGATAGCAGCCACCAGTACAAAAATAATTCACCAGATATATGATAATATGAAATTTTAAAACGATATATGTCGACTGGCCAAAGCAGCCAACAAAAACTAACAGCTACTCTAATGCCATTTCCATTTCACATTTTATTCTTTCGATTTTGCCTTTGGACTGACCTTCCCTGTGCGCCTTTCGTCCAGTTCTACCCTTAAGGTCTGCTTCCAAGAGTTGCAATCTCATATGCATTATTTTGCATGTCTGGCGATTTGGCTATTCAGGCGTAAAGGTCAAAAGATCAATGTTGACAGAGTTGTAATTTCCAAGCAGGCAGGCAAAGGGAAGTTTTCACAGAAAATAATGCCTGACATTTTCCCATTTACTGCTCTGATTTTTCCTTATTCTTCTTGCGCTTGAAAATTTATGCAGAGTTTCTTTTGTCCAGCGTCTTAGACGCTGATTAGGCGTGAAGTCGGCATTTGAATACCACGTTGCTGTTTTTGTTTTTAGTTGACAGCATTGAAATTTATTCTGGCGGGAAAATGTTGAGCTGATGCCAGGTGTACTTGAAAAAATAAACCACATTTATTATCAATTTTACTAAACTGAAGCGTAATCCGAATACATGGAAAATATCATAAGTCAGCGAATAAACTTCTGTCTCTTTTTGAAAGTTCTTTCAGATAAGTGGCGCAAATTGCTCAAAATTCAATATTTTAATTATCAAACGTAGCAAAAGTCACATTTTAATGATAAGAAATTATAATCCTCATATTTAAATTTGTTATAAAAACTATTAGTTAGCTCAGAATTTGAAGATGTAACTTTATTTTCTATAAAAAAATACTCGTAAGGTCAACGACAGCTAATTAAGGTTACCAGATACAAAGCCTGAACATTACGCCTTGTTATGATTGCGTGAACAATAACAAAAAAAACTGAGATTAATTTTCTTATCCCTCAAAAAAAAAAACACACTTAAAAAATTTGCAAAACATGTTTTGCATACAAAAAACCGATCATCAAATACTCACATAATCGAAAATTGGGACGCCAGACTTGCCCAAAATGCAGTTAAGAAAATGCAAAATCTTGAGGGCAACCACCAAAAGAAATGGTCCAGCAACCGTCCAGCTGCATTCACAGTTACCTGAGACCCACAGCACCCTCTGCTGTCCGGCGCAGATTTATAATGGGTATACATGAAAGTAGAGCACAGATCTAGGGTCTTAAGGGCGCTTGGGCATGTGCGAAAATCTACCCCATAATCCAAATTCAGTTCACAAATTAAAGTTTTTGCGCACAAAGGTAGCGAATTTTCAAAAATGATTCGCTGTTTGTTTATTTGCGTATCGAAATGTTTGCAGTTCTCATTTACCTAAAAGAAACGAATATGCATAAATCTTTATTACAAGTATAACAATTGAATACAAATGAAGAATATATCTGGGCAGTATTTCTCGGAAATACACATTTATTTCAACTAAAACGCCAACTAGTACTGATTCAGAGTCCAAACGATTGAAACTAATTAATTTAGTTGCCATCTGACAGACGGAAGCGTCATGTTGCCTCAATATAATATAATAATTGGTGTCATAAAAGTTAGTTACAGCGAATTGAATGTCTGTCAAACACGTGACATTTCCAAATTAGTTAACTCTCGACGGTATAAAAAATAACTTGAACCCAAATGCCAAACAATATCAAACAGAAACTTCAATTTCTGTGCGCATTGCGTGCTTTTAGGGGCGTCCATTGTTTTGATGACATGCCAAATGGTTTATGGTTTATGGTTAATGGTTAATGCCTTCTGATATGTACATATGACATGTTACCTGTCAGCGAAAGCGTAAATTGCCCCCAGTGTAATGACAGGTTCGTATTTTCACCTATTGTTCAGGTGTCTCTGTGTCCGTTTGTGTTTGCGTGTGTGTTTCAAGGGCGGGTCCCACGAGAGGCGCCACTCGCTAGGGGAAAAAAATCACAAATTTACAGCTCGTCTGCAGCTTAACTAGACCATATGATTGTTGCACTAAATACTACATTATTTATAGGTTTTAGAATGGTGCTTTAATTAGAAACCGCGGAGCTCATAAATTATTAATATAATTTTCATTTCCTAATTTTCAGTTGGAGGCTTATAAAAAATATACTATAAATAAACAAAATGCAATACAGTCTTCAAGTCATACATATTATCTTTACTTTTATCTGCTTTGCTTAAAATAAACTAATTGATGTGTGCTAATATATTATTAAGCTCGTATTATTTGTCTTTGAGATATCACTTTATATAAATGCATATACACGAGAAATCTTCGTACAACATTTTAAGCTGGATATGTATAAACAGATATTAGCAGAATATTTTCATAATACATAATATTTTTAAATCTACTTTACACTTACACTTACAGTAGAATGGCTACTGACCTTCACACTTGAATGTTAATAAACAAATGAGTCGTTGTTTGTGAGCTACGAGATTTATCAAATAAAAACACAGACTAAGCAGAAAATTCGCACAAAGTGATTGCTATCTTCCGACAACAACATTCTAGAATGCTGACAAATTTATTGTGGATTTTTTTGTTAACTCTGTGGATATATGTGCTGTGGAATCGTCGAAAATATTATAAGCTGATCCTAAAGTTACCCGGCTCAATCGGATATCCTATAATTGGCATTTTACATCGATTTTTCACGAATGAAGGTAGATCATTCGTGAATGTGTTTGGAAAAGAAATCCAAAAATGGGGACCAGTTTGGTTGTGCTGGTTTGGACCAATGCCTCTGTTAGTTGTTAGCGACCCGCAGATATCTCAGGAAATATTAAATTCACCTCATGCCATGGACAAAGCTCGATGGGGTTATAATGGACTGCGACGAATTATTGAAAATGGCCTAGCTGTCAAAAAAGGTATTTGCTTAATATCTTATTGGTATTTTAACTAATCTATACTCTGCGCAAGATCCCTTGTGGAGTAAACATCGTAAAGCATTGAATCCCGCCTTTGGACACAATATTTTAATCAGCTTCTTGCCCATCTTCAATAAGGAAGCGGGAGCTTTAGTTGTGGAACTGGATAAGCTGGTTGGTATGGGCGAGAATAATTTGCTTCCACATTTAAAAAATCAGAACTTAAGAATAGCAACTCGTAAGTGACATCCAAATTATCTGAGTTTATGCCGTTTTGAATCTTTAACCATTCACAGAAACCACGATGGGCAACGATATAAAGAATGAGCAAATTTATAGAAACAATACCTTGATGAATAGTTATAACCGGTAATTATCGTAACATCAGAAATGGCATAACTCTTAACTTATTTTCCACAAAAGCATTTTGGAAATTGGATCACAAATAACGCATTCTCCTTGGCTCGATAATAAACTGATGCGTTACCTATTCGGTATAGAGAACATTTTCAATGAATGTCATTCGACAATCCGACAATTAATTAAAAAGGTTAATAATAAAACTTACCTAATTTAAGTATTCATTTTTGTTGTATTCAGTTTATTGACAGGACACTGGAGACTGATCTTCAACCTAAGAATAGAAGCAATACATTTATAGATGTGGCAATTGATCATCTTAAGACTGGAGTTCTCAGCCATAAGGATGTTGAATCGGAATGTCATACAATTGTTGTAGGAGCGTTTGAGACCACTGCATTTACCCTTATAAATATCTTAATGTTGATGGCCATGTATCCAGAATACCAGGAAAAGGCTTATGAAGAAATCAAATCTGTGTTCCCCAATAGAGAAGATGTCGAAGTCAACTATGAAGACATACAGAAAATGGAATACCTGAATATGGTAATAAATGAGAGTTTGCGGCTATTTCCAATATTTTCGTTAATAGGGCGACAACTAAATCAAAATATTCGAATATCAAACGGAGTTGAGTTACCCAGTGGACTGCAAGTTTTTATTTGTATTTACCACATGCATCGCAGGAAGGATGTATGGGGTCCTGAGGCAGAAGTCTTTAATCCCGTAAACTGTACTCCTCAAAATCTAGAGGGCAAACATCCATATGCCTTTATACCTTTCTCAAAGGGCAAGCGGAACTGCATAGGTACAAAAAATAATCCTTATTATATTAATATATATTTGACTTGGGATTACTTGTTTACAGGTTGGAAATATGCATTGATATCAATGAAAGTTACATTGGCGAAAGTTTTAAGAAATTATAAACTAAGCACAAGTACTCGCTTTGAAGATTTAATTATTGTCGACTATATGGCACTGAAATTTCAGGATGTGCCTATGAAATTGGAACGAAGACCTTGCTAATTATATAAATATAACCTTTCCTATATTTTTATTAATGTTTCTAGGGGTGTGTTGTAATTATGTGTGAGCTCTTGCATAAGAGTTAAATGCGAATTTAATATTATGTGAAAGATACTGGTAATTAAATTATAAGTGCTCTTAGCTAATTTGTACTTTCAGAATTTATATGTGCATCTATTTATTCTGATACTTTCACTTTTCGTTTCGACTACGCAGTTGTCGTAGTTGTTGAAGAACTTGTCCAACTTAGTCAGCTGCTGAGACAGTAACTCAACGATCAACAAACGATCGTTTGGTAGCTTAAACAAGACAACAACAACAACGATAACAACAAAAAGAACAGGAACAACCACAAAGCGAGTGTGCTGAAAGGCCTTATTCGTAAGTGGCAAAACAACTGGCTGATATGTCTGTAAATGTTATGCTCGATTGGGGATCGGCAACACAAATCACCGTCTCTCGCTGGCAGAGCGTAGACGCGCCACAGATCACGACAGTTGCGAATGTTGACAGAGGGGCGGTGTTCGGGTCTTTGAGCATGCAAAGTAAGTTACATACAGATGTACGATTCGACTTGACAGAGTGGTTGCACAGTCAGATGCAGACACAGATACAGATACAGTAGGGAGATAAAGATGCGATAAATGCTGCGCAAAACCAAAGCTCCAGCTATAACAGTCATCGATAAGTGTGTACAGACAAATATAGAAAGAGAGAGAGACTAAGTAAGAGAGAAAGAGAGAGAGAGATAGACACATATATATATATATATGAAGATCATGTGCGAAAATGTGGGACAGAGTCGAGGCGCGAATGCTGGAGGCACTTGACAGGCCCGAAAAGAAGAAATAATTCCATTGAGTCGGAAAGTATGTGGGGAATCTTAAGCGAGACGAAATTAGACAAGCGTCGTGATTTACGGTACCCTTAAATCACATGACAACACACACACACACACACACACACAGACAAAAGCATATTGAAAATCGAAGTGAAAACTCGACTCGATGCAATAAGAAAATGCGTTGTCGATCGCAAAAGTCTGCGCCGCACATGTGGAATTGAGGCGCACTGGCAACCAGACGATGATAATGTTCATGATGATGATTATGATGATCTGCTGCTGATGATGATGATGATGATGCTGATGCTGATGATCTGCGACGCTCTGTTGACGACACAATCGATCGATGCTTCCGCTGTCCAGACCCAGCATTGCTGATTTATGGCGCGAATTCGATCATACTACAAACTTGGAGTTTAATTTACCCGCTTAAATATCAAAATAAAATCAAAAACTTAAAACAAAAACCAGCATGAAGATCAAAGTCCATCAAATTCAAATTGGATTGACACAATCTTTATATAGGCACTCGTTTCGTTGCGTATGGTAATTCAATATGCTTGAGTTTAGCGTTGAATCATTGATCATTCTGGGCATTTCCCATCCATAAAATTTAATGTTTATTTAAACTGAACACTATTTGCTATTTTGGCCAAAACTTGAGAGTCATTCAGCTTCCGCCTTACTAAGTAACTTTTGCTCTATTCTGCTTCCTATACCACTCAAGTCACTACAAAAACAACATTATTTCACACTTACTGTATGACTTAATAACATGTTAACGATAGGCATAATATGTTGTTAAATAACAATTTCACAGTATATAATAAATAAATACTCTTTCCAACATATCGATTCTATGATTTTGTCTCAAATTGTAGCAAATGATTGCCTATAAGAAAACTATCGACTTTTCTGCATAACATTTATTATTGTAAATAAACTTTGTTTTCCCAAAACTGAATTTTTAATTACATCATTAATCTATGACTTGGTTATGGTGGTTTACATATTCCTCTCAACTCAAAACTATACCAACAAAATAGCAATTTCCATATGAATGTTTTTTTGGTCATGTGATCTTTTCTTTATGATTCCCCCTTTAAATTTGAATAATTTGTGCAGATAACTTTTGTTGATAGCCCTATCTAATTTAATACTTGATGACGCGGCTTAATATGTATATTTTCAATAGATTTTCAAACCAATTTGCATAGTTTTGTTCGAAATTTGTACCAATGTAATCCATACTCAAATTAATTTAACCAGTTTGTGAATTGACGCAAGTGATGCAAAATGATATCAGCTTAGAGAATGTTTCCACTTTTATAAGTGTATCATTCGTACTTTTCCACGACAATTAACTAACATTATAGTTACTAATTTAATTTAAAATGCGCAAAAGTCCACAAAAGTACAATACATAAAATAGATTTTAAGTATTTTGCATAAGCTGAAAAGAAATCAACTTAAAGTTTAAGCTGATTGACTCATTGGACAAACCTTAAAAAAAATATATAAATTACAACCCGTTTCTTATTGACACATCTAGTTCGAGATCCAGCTGGTCAAATCTAAAACAACAAAGAAGAAATAAAAACCGCAAAGAATCAGAGGCGCCCAAATTAAGTTTCTGTTTATTCGGTTTGGTTTGAAACTTGTTTATTTGTTTTTGTAAACAGTTTGGGGAATTCTATAGAGATTGTTCTTGAATTTCATTAATATCGACACGATAAACACGAGAAACTGTGCATATAAAAGCGAATCTCGACTAGTGTCAAATCACAGTTCGATTTGGAAATTTGCTAACTGAACATCTACTTAAAAAAAAATAAACACATTGAAAATGCGTGCAGTAATCTTGTTCGCCGTGATCCTTGGAGTGCTTTTGTCTCTGGCCTATGCCCAGCAGGAGGCCGAAGACCAGGAGCAGGTGCGTGCTAAGCGCCAGTTTGGCTTTGGCAGCCCATTTGGCGGCTTTGGCGGATTCGGTAGACCCGGCTTTGGAGGCTTTGGAGGTAACAGATATGGAGGCTATGGAGGTTATGGTGGTTATGGCGGCTATGGCGGCTATGGCGGCTTCAGACGTGGTGGCTACGGAGGCTACGGAGGCTATGGTGGATTTCCCCGCTATGGTGGATTCTACGGCTAAAATGTTAATAAATAAATAAAACTTAAAGTATTCCAAACAAAGTATTTCAAATATTGTATACCTCTTAAGTTGGTCTTAAAATATGTGCAAATCATTGGAGATGCAATCTTTGGGCACAGTAAGTACGAATATTCCTGGCCAGTAACCGTTTCCTTGGCCATTAGATGTAGCTGTCATAGAAGCTACCGCTGGAAAGAAGACTTCTTGAATGAACAACGTTTGTTTTTGGCACTAGTTACGAGGCTCGCTATGCTGCTAACATTTTACTATTATGTTTTTTTGTTACTTTCCGTTTCAAAATTGAACTGCTAATTGGATTAGTTAGCGTTCAATTTCTGGAAAGTGAAATTCCCTCAACATGTGCGCACACTTAAAAAACTTATCGCTGAGTAAAAATGGATCAGAACTTGACCTCGTCTATTGCAATGTGTTGACCCGCACTAAGTTGTTCGTGCCTGTTGCCTCAATGTCTGCCGGAGAATATGTTTAAAAATAAATAACAGCAAATCTCCATTTATTTATTAATCTATGCCTGCAGTCCCCCGACAATATGCCGCCTGCCCACCCCCCTCGCTGGAACTGGTGTGTCTACCTACTAATTAGTTGATTTTTTTTTTTGTGTGCCGTCTGTTTGTTTATGTTCCAGAGCTGTCACAAGTCGGCATCTTCTTCTCTTTGGTTCTTGGAGCGTTTGCAGACATGTCAGACCATCTAGAGTCGCATCACAGAGTGTTTTGGGTTCTGCATCTGTGGGTGTGTGTGTGTGTGTGTTGTGGGTGTGGGTGTGGAAGTGTGTGTAGGAGTGTCTTTGTCTTTGCTGCAATTATCACGTACGATTGTCATAATTATCATTTTCATTTTTATTAGATGACCTTAGGTTGCCGCGTCTTTCTGTCTGTCACCATTGTTTGTTGTTTTTCTGATGCCCTGCCAGCAACTGCGTCTTACTAGCCAAAAAAAAAAAACAGTATTTAAAATATGTTGTTTGTTTCTTCAAGTAAACAACGAATTCCGCATAAATTACCTTTACGTTATGTTATTTTATGTTTATTTAATTCGTGGCTATTATAATATACAAATACATATATATACTCCATACGTTCAGGGCTTTATATTTGCTTTGCACGTGCGCAATCAATTTTTTTTTAATTCCGTTCATATTTTTCCATATATGTTACAATATTACTTCTACCATCTTTTCCTAGAGATATTGGAATGTTAATGAGTTAGTTTAATTTATTCAACTTAATTAAGGAGAAAGCTTCTAAATAAAATAAAAAATAAATAAATCATTCAAATAGAGAATGAATTGGGGACTTTTTTTTCCACTTTTATCAACCTAGTTTCACAGCTGACACTCCAGCTCACATATATAGAGACAAAGTGGCAATCAAGTTTTGCAGCATATGCGTTAAGAACGCAATAAAACCCATCCATGGCACAAATTGGGACTGACATTGGTCTATATAGCTGCTGATTAGATTAATGACGTATTAATCCCGCTAATAAACATAAAAATCAACGCAAATAAAACTCCCCGCAAATAATACCTAAGAGCAACCCTAATCGAGGCCGGGGCATATTAATTTTGTGCCAATAACGAATACCATATAGATGGTTATCGGGAGTGGCCTGTGGGCCAAATGGCTACTCATATTCGTAGTCGTATTCGAGTTGATATTCGTATTCATATTGTGGCAACAACTCACAAGTCCTTGCCACGGTACCGCCCCCTGTTTAGCTGTTTTGCTGTTTTGGTCTATTGTTTAATTGTCAATAGACATCGGCTTCTATCAATATCATAAAAGCTAATATTTTGCGGTTGGCTGGACGAGTCGGAAGAGGAGCAGGAACAGGAACAGGAGCTGGCACAGAAGTGAAACAGCGTGCTGACAAACTGACTTGTGGGCATAAGTAACCGCAAAACATCCCCCCGCATTAATCCCACCGGATATGCTCAATCAAAGCTCAAAGTGTGCGTGCTGGAGTGAGGTGTGAGCAGGACGAGGGTCCTGTCTGGAGAGGTGGATCGGTGTGTCGGTGGGTGGGTGGTTGACTCGGTGATTCGAATCTGTCCGGGGGTTGCTTGTTGTCATTGAAAATCGTCGTATTTCATTCATCATTTTTCGCCTTTTCAACGCCAACACAACAACCCCCGAGGCCAGAGTTAGTTAAACTTAGGTTGTCCAGGACCTCAACCTCAACCCAAACACGAACCCGAACCCGAGTCCCCAACCTGACTTTCGTGCCGGGCATGTTTTGATATTAAAATTGCGTAATTATAATTAACCACATGTGGGTTTGAGGCGGCGAAGGGTTTAACGTGTCCTCCAACTGCTTCCGCCTCGACTTTCGATCATTTGCTGCCTCGCTTTTGTCACGAGGTGTGTTGCCGGAAGGAAGAAGCGCGGCGGTTATGGCTATGGTTGCCACACACACAGACACACACACACAAACACACACACATTACTTGCTGCTCATGTGTCACGTGCGTTGTGCGGGCACATGGTAACCGATATGCGGATTGTCGCCCCAGGGGCATAATCCATAATTTAGCATACTGCCAGCCAATTGATATTACCTTGCCTTCATCCGATTGTATCTATCTATGCGGTGTGTGTGTCTGTGTGTGTGTCTACATCAGATGATTAAACCCAAATTTTAAATTTAATTAGTGCAGGATTTTACAATTTACACTTTGCGTGGAACACGTGTTTCCCTGCGGTTTATTTTTTTTCTAGACGGGTATCAGCTGAGAATGTGCAATAATGTTAAGCACGATAGATACGATATGTAGGCTATATATTATATATTGTCTGGTACATATTTCACAAATATTAAACCTTTAATAAAACACATTTAGTTTATACAAAATTCGAATTACTCAAACATGATTTCCAATACTTTAGCAGATGCCTGAGAACTACTTTTACTTTTTGCTTAAATTGCTCAGCTCCTAACTCAACACATTGCTATTAGACGCCTAACCCACAAACCTCTAATTGTAATTAAGCATGGGAATCAAAGTTAAAGACTGAGAGGGAGAGGGAGAGAGAGAGAGACAGGGAGAGTGATAGAGAAAGAACTAAAGCCAATAAAATGACTATGAAAACGAATGTTTTGGTCAGGAGTAGGAGTTGTGTATGAAATTCCAGGCGGGCACACATGTGAGTGGTTTGTACTCAAGGAGAAGCGAGCTAGCGGAGATTACAAACGTGTGGCCATTAGTTAACTTCAGCTTTGATTGATTTCAATTAATCTTGGACGCGTGTAATTAATCATTGAACACTTTAATATGGTTAACAACTCTTGACCAAGCAACGGTTAAAAAGGTTCAACGAGCCGCAGACTTCTGAGGCGCGTCAAGACAACCAGACAAGACGGTACCAAATGGGGCCCCAAACGCAACTGACAAAGTGACTTACAAGGTGGGGAGTTGCAGTTGCTGTTGAGACTCTAGACAAGAGACCCCAGAGCTGTAGCTGCACTCGAAAAAAAAATGATGAACTAGAAAGCATTTTCGTGGAATAGAACAAATTTCACGTTTCTTAAATGCATTTTTATTTTGTAATAATCACTATTTATTATCACTTCTATATATATATATATATACATATATATATACATTGTATTTTTGTTTCTTTAAAATTAATATTTAAATTATTATGGAAAAAAAAATAAAAAATTGTATTTTTATATTTGAAATATTTTTGCTTTTGTTTTTTTTTTTTTACATATTTTTTTCTGAGTGTGGTTGCCAAGCCGCAGCCGGCATGTGCAGTGTCTGAGAAAAATGACCAAGTTTTGAAAATGCGTTGGAGTAACGAGCCCAAAAAGATTTTCATGCTCGAGTGTTTGGCCGAGAGGCAGCCAGCTAACAATCTTAGGCCCTGCCAACTTCAGCCCCCTACTAATTGTAGTTACACTTCGCGCCAGTTGGAGCCGAGCGTTAAGCGGATAGCGGCCAGCGATTGATGGCTATCAATGTGCATGACTTATGGTCCATGTCCAGTTTCAGTCTCAGGCAGCAGGCAACAGTCCATGGAAATTCATCTATGTGCCACATTTGCTTGCCCAACTGCAGCCTGGCCGCGTCTCTTAGCCTTTTGCGTATTGATTTTCCCATGGCTCGAAGTCTTGGCAAATAGCCATAAGCCAAGGAAATCATATTGCGATTATATTTCTAGTATGCATATTTTGCTATGGATTTGCGGTTAGCTCATCAGTGGGTAAACGGGACACGAAAGGTGCCACTAAACGAGGCCAGTGTGTGGTTAACTTAATCCGACTTGATTGAAACTTTTGAGAGTGAATTGAGCTTCATGTGCGAGGTTCTGTGTGCGACTTACAAAAAATCGATGGCAAAATTACTTAAGTTAAATAATGTGAATGATTTTTTCTTTCGTTTGCTGAAGAAATACAGTAAACAAATAAATAGATGTGTTCTTATATTACACTTTTCCCATATTTGGCATCATTATGAACTTATCTAAACAATACCAAAACAATATCGTAGAACACTTGAGGTTAACCATTGAATTGGAATCGAACGAATTTCACACATGGGCGCTAATGAATTTAATGAAGTCATTTTTCTTTAACCGATTAACAAAACTACTTACAACAGCGACCGGTCCGCCCCTGCCCCTGCTCGTGCCCCTACCCTGTTCCGCTCTTTGCTCCCAGGCATTGCCCCTGCTTCAACTCCTTCCTCGATGCCTGGCAGCACGTCACTTAGAACAAGCGAGTTCATAATTTCGCATCATTAATCATCCCTAACAAAGAGATCTCCTTGCCGCGATGGACCCGCCAGGGGGGAGAGGAGGACAATCGACGCCAACTGATGCGCCGATTGACAGCTACCAAAGTGGCCGGGCGAAAGTAATTTGAGCTCGAGTTGAGTTCGAGATTTGCTGCCGTGGAATTAAAAAACAATTGTTAATTATTAAATTTTAAATTTTACACACTTTGCCGCAAATGAGGCTCATCAGCGCATGGGG